CACATTTTGTAGAGGAAAAGCTGATGTATATTTGCTATTGCGATCGAGTACATTATCCATATCCCGATTGAGTCATTTTCGAGACTACCTCCTGGCAGCGGGAGAGATTAAATGAGCCTCATTCGTCTATTCAAATCATTGTGGGAAAGTTCAACTGTCCCTAGTGGCATAATTTCGTTTCATATACGAATAAAATGCGGATTTCAAACAATCTCCTGAGATAAGATTGATGTGAAAACTTTCATTAATTATAGAAGTACATGATGAAAAGATTCGTAAGCGAATCTCACCAGAAGACGTCGGCTGATTCGCGTTATACCGCAGCCGTTTAGCATTAATACGACGTTCAGGTTGATGCAATCGCAGCTCTGACGATGTTCGCAACCTGACGAACAAAAGTCAGTTTGTCTTCGTCCGAAAAGTTGAAGGATGTCTCGTGGATTGCATCAACTTGAAGGTCGTATTAGAGTTAAACGGCTGCGGTACAACGCGAATCAGCCGAAGTCTTTTGGTGAGATTCATTTACCAATCACTTCATTATGTACTTCCATACGAAATGAAAGTTTTCACATAAATACTTTGGTTCATCCATGTAAACTTAGCCAGCCTAGGCAACTTGTTGTGAAGAAATTTGGGTTTCGAGGAATCTCCTGTTTCATAATTGTTAAGCTAACTTCCATTTCGGGTGAAAGTTTTGGGTGAAGAGATTCGAAGGCTGGTTCCACCAGAAGACGACAGGATTCTTCTTGACCAGCTGCCGACTGGCTTTACTGGAAGATTCATGCTGACGCTGTTTCCGAGGCAATTTCCTTCGATTCCGGTGAAAAGGTGCTAAACTTTCGTCCGTCATATGACGAACATCATCAGAGCAAGGTATCCTCCTTACGTCAACAAATAGGTTAGACTTTTTAGGGATGTGCGGGTTGATTTTCTTGACTCGGTTGCTCGAATTTGGTCTGCTTATGTTCGTCATATTACGGACGAAAGCTCAGAACGTTTTCATCTGAGTCGACGGAGATTACTTCGGAAACAATACCATCAAGAATGTTCCAGTCATGCCAATCGACAGCTGGTCAAGAGGAATCCGCCGTCGTCTTCTGGTGGAATCGACTTTTGAATCTCTTCACCAAACACTTTCACTCGAAATGGAAGTAAGCTCAACAATAAGAAATATAATCGAAGGTATGAAGGTCAAGATGGTGTGGCCTCTGGTATGGTCGCAGTCTCCTTTCGATTAATAGAAGTGGGTTTACCCCGTTGTCGCAACTTGGTCCTGTTGTCAGGGCGACTTAGTGCCACAAAAGGGCACACATTTTGACGAGTAGAATGTAAACAAGTGAGAAGTTGTGATAGGGCGGATAAAGAGTAGATAGATAGGCCAGGACCGAGAGAGGAGTGATAGTGTTACCGTTTTAGGCAGAACGTTGGTGGAAGGATTGACTTGACTTGTCTCTTTGACGAGTTCGTAACTTGGTGCGGCGAATGGCAAAACTCACTGATGATGCCGACTACGATGCCGGCGAAACGTTTGAGAATGTATAAGTCCACTGTCGGATGCTGGGAATCATGACAACTACAATGGCAGACGAGTTCGGACTAGGTGTGTTCTACTAAGTCGCCCTGACAACAAGACCAAGTTGCGATAACGAGGTCGACCCACTTCATTGGCATAGAGAAAAATGCAAGTTTACCTCGACGGCAGTCACACACAAAATGTGATATGGGAGAGGACTTATCTTCTGTGTAAGTTACGTCTACCCTACGATCAAGAGGCACTGGTGCCAGTTTTTTGCGGTGGTAACATGTCAGGATTATGCGTTGTAATGTCCAAGTTCGATTCCCGTTGTGGCTGTTTAGGATGCCGATCGAGGCGAGGTCGAAAAAAAGTCCAGTCCAATCGGTGCGACAATAACTTTTTGGGAAGCATGGAAACGTAAAGCCACCTTAGCTTATTATGACCTCATTTCTTTAGGGGGGTGTTAACGTGATACTTTTACAGTAATGAAGCCCAGCTCTGATGATGTCTATCATTTGATGTACGAAAGCTAGGCCTGTTTTCACCCGAAGCGAGGGAGGAGGTCTCGTGGGCTGCGTCAACCTGAACGTCGTATAAAAGCCAAGCCGCTGCAGTACCACGGGATTCCTCCGTCCTGTTCTGGTGAGATCGACATACGAATCTCCTCTTCATGCACTTTCCTATGAAATCAAAGTCTCCCCAACAATGTTATC